GAAGGACAGCTCCTCACCTTAATTTCTGACCAAGTTTCTGACCAAGCACAGAAACAGGGGATGTGTATGTGTAAATCTATCATCTATATCTGATTTATACCTTAGGCAATTTTCTAAAGAAAAAAGAGAAAAGAGAAAGAGAGAGACAAATTGGGTTATATTGATTTCACTGACCACAGATAAAAATTCTGAAAAGTAGATTTTAAAAAAACTAAGAAAAAAAATAGTATAAACTAATTAATGCTAAAATATTTTCACTCTATCCTAAAGATTTTTTTAACAATTAGTAAGAAAATCAATGCCTAAAAATTAATATTTTGGAGCACAATAACTTAAGTCTTGAGAAGACAGTAAAAGATATGTAACTGGCTTTTTGTAGTACCTAATATTTTCCTTGAAATGTATTTATGATGGAGGAAGAGAGAGAAAGACATCTTACCAAGTAAACCCAGCCTAAACCATGATTGTTTGAAACCTGCCAATTAGACTGTCACTCTTCTCACTGTTGCTAGCAAACCCATGCTACAGTTTTAATCAATGCACAACACAGAAATGCTCTTTCTCACCTGCGTGTTAGCACTCTAAGTGACAAAGAAAAAACAGGAACGCTGCTGTTTAGGCCATCTTGATTATCCCCAGAGATCAGCATAAGGCAGTGATTTGTGTCCCATCTTTTGGGCAAGTTAGCATTTGGGGGTGGCCCAAAGAAAAGGCATGGCTTTGAAAAAGGAAAGTGGTAAGGTAACAGGTGAGTGAAATTATCTGATGATTTTCTGAAAGGTTTAAGGAAAAGACCAAAACGCTTAATCACACACAGGCAGAGCTAGAGGTAACAAAAGAGGTTAAATCCATCCAAAGGCTCTTAGCCGAGCGAAAGCTATGGTTCCTTTTCGGTGAAGTCCATATCAGAGCTCTGTCTTCCATAAAGCACTCCCTGCCATATCTTCACACATTCCACAGACACAGGGAGAGATGGGGGTGTCAGGGGGAAGGAAGGAGGACCCAGGAAGGACAGAACTGGGGACCTGGACCGTTGCTCTAACATAAAGTCTTCCATTTTTCCAGAGGAAGATTACATTTTCTGCTTCTGTTATTTAAAGTTAATTCACTCAACAAGTACACACCGGGTGTTCCCGTGTACCAGACACCTTGGTGACTGAAGACAATCACAGCTCCTGCCCTCAGGGTGCTCAGAGCTGAGCAGGGATCAAAGGTGAATAATCTGGGACTGTGCACCTACAGCTGGAAATAAACATCCTCCAATGAAAGAGCGCAGTGCCATGAAGAGCGTGGCAAAGGAGTGTCACCAGTGCTGCGGGGCCGGGAGGGGCCCCGCTGAGATAGAAGGCAGGAGCTGGAGTCATCGAAGGCAGGTGTTGCATGAGGGAAGGTTCTGTAGTGGAGGGTCATGGTGAATTCAGGAACGGGGAATGAGGAAGGGCCAGGCAGCTCGGGGGCAGGTCAGGCTGCATGGGGCTTCCAGGCCTC